TCCAGAATTTGGACAATTGATTTGGGCTGATCACGGACTTAAACTTGGGCCAAAGAGGAATATTGGACCGAGAGTGATTTAAAATATATGTTGGGTGTAAAATTCGACCCGATAAAGAAAATATTGAATTTTTTTAAGATTAAAAATCGTTTTGAATTAATATATTAAATGTTTTGCTAGACAACTCGACGGACGTAAAATAAATTCTAAAATTTGACAATAATGTCGTAGCAACACAACTTAAGTTGTAAAATTTGTATTTTAAAATCCGGGTGCTACAATAACAGTGGATTATCGATTGTTTTGAATGCATGAATTTACTAGATTACGAATTAAGAATTGAACTAAATGGCAATAGGGGGATTCACGATTCCAATACAAATATTTACATATTAGATAAACACTTTATTTTCTTTATTAGTTTAGGATTAGTATAAATAATATATGAACCATCTCTTTTGATATTGCCATACTTCGAATTTAATAGTAGTCATTGAACTACAAATTAAACATTATTTATCGTGGGAACGATACTCTTAACTTACAAATCTTATTACTTGTACAACGATCCCGTACGCTTGCGGGTTTCAAGCGAACACAAACCAAATAACATTTAAGTCTATTACTTCCAAACCTAGTTAAGTAACTCCCTAACTTCTAATTTAATCCCATTGAAGCTCTCAATTATTATCCATTGCAAAATAAACCCCAAGAAAATAATTAGCCTCATTTAAGTCCCATTTTGACTATGACTTTGACAATTCCACCTTTGACTTTGAAATAAAATCTTGACTTTTACTTTATAGAAAATGGGGTGTAACACCTCGCTTCTTCGTTCGTCATATCTTTGCTAGAGATCATTTTAGCTCTAAACTGTGGAAAATAATTCTTGAGGGACTCCTCTTCTTGCCTCAAACGATTTAACATTGAGGCTAGTGCTTGTTCCATCTTGTTCTTAATGAGCATTCTTATGATTGCTCGTTTCTCTATTGTGGGTTGGGTTTCATATTTCCCATAGAGTTGTACATTACACGGACTAAATTGGCTTTCTGCTCTCTGATCTTCATGATAGTTGTGGCAGTCATACTCTTTGTTACGAGTGTTCTTTTCGTCCGCGAGTCACTCTAGGGCGAGGTTGTTCATCCGCCACTCTCGCTTCTTCATTTCAGACATATTATTGTAATTTTTTAATACTTGTGAGTTGTTACTGCTCCCAGGAAGAAGCTAGCAACGAGCTTTATTTCACTTTCACCAACTTCACCTTGCCAACCCATCTTCAAACTTTCAAGTTGTGCACGTAGAGATTCATTTTCAGCTGTTTGTATCTTGAGGTTTTCTGTCATTTCCTATAGTCTCTGATGTGGTCGTCTTTTTCCATAAGTGAAGTTGTTGAGCGGAGTAAATGTCGGTGTATAATTTTGACAATGTTTCTTCCCGCTGTCGTTTTGGATTCATGTCACTATCCTCCGAACCATTGCTATGCTCTCCCACTTCCATTTTTGGCACTCCCTCTTCTACTTGGATCATCATTTATAGACTTAAATGGACAAATTCATGATTATCTTTGATCAAGTTCCCAACAGATGGCTTCAATTTGTTGACGATAAAAATTCGATCAACAAATTCATCTCACCTAGTCAGGATTTTCGCTTTTTAAACTCACTTATTTTGAATCTTAAATCGGAAGCAAGATGTAAAATGGCTATTTGGGAGGGAAATATTTAAATTTGCATGCACTTTTCCTCTTAGACGAGAATATTTGTAGATTTCCTTTGGGCATTGAGTCATTCTAGAAAATGACAAGTGGCGATTGTTTTGTGGTAGGTCAATAAGTGATTCTGTTATGTATTAATATATTACTCGATGGTTTAGAAGTCATGCTTTTTAGATAAATTCTAGAAAATGACAAGTGGCGATTGTTTAGTGGTTGGTTGATAAGTGATTCGGTTATGTATTAATATGTTACTCGATGGTTTAGAAGTCATGCCTTTTGGATTTATCTACATGTGTGAAAGTAACGATATTTGCCGCCATAAAGTGGAACGTTAGTCTTGCCTCTTGTGAGCCTTCTTTGTTTAAGCTACCCTCTTGCTTTTATATTTCACATAGGGGGTTGAGTTTGCAAGATAGACATAATATTTTGATATCAACAAAAATTATAATCTCTTTTACACAATAAATTCTAAAATAATACAACAAGGTACATGGCATGAGCCGTGACTGGTCAACTTTCAGCTGGGCCCGTTTAGGAATGGCGAAAATACTTATTGAGCCCGTCGAAAATATATAATTCCTCCCTAACATAGTTTTTTATATAAAAATTACCAAAAAAAAAAAATTATATAAAAAAATAAATGAGGAAATGGAACCAAAATTGTAGCGACCGCGAACTTTTAAATTATATAAATTAATTTTCTCGAAAAACAAGTCGCTAAAATGTAACCCTAATTATTTTTAGAGAACCACGTTCGTCTAGACATTATAAAATTAAATTCAAATCTATTCGATTAAATCCAATCTCGGATAA